TAATATGATATTACATTATATATATTTTTATTAACACTCATTTTACATTATTATCATACACATACATATACCAATATATATTAGTTGAATAGACGTCGACCTTGGTATTGTGAAACACATTCGAATGTTTTGAAATGTGACAAATTTTCATCTAAATGTCACCGTACGCAGGGGCTGCCAACATCTAGGAATTTGTTTGAGTGAGAATTTTGAAAAAGTAAAATGTTAATCGTCTTCTAGGGTGGGGGGATCTTGGAGAATGGTGTCCCAGAAATTTATTTTATTTAATGAAACAAAATGTTTCAGTCTCGTGCATTTCCTGGATCGTTAAGATTCTGAATTTAACCTGGATCCAGTGGGTCAAACCAACAACAATGCGTTAAAAACCACCAATTTTAATAAAACGTGAAATTTTGTTAGTAATGCGTGTGAGCGTGAGAATGGGCCCAGATGCGTGATTCTCACGCCTAATGGGTAACTGTTGGTAGCTCTGCTATAAGACTAAAAAAAAAAAGTCTTGCTGTGATATATGGCGGCCATATTGGATTTATGTAAATAATTTAATTCTCCCAAGGCTGCTAAGGTGGCACTCTTCAGATTCTGTGTACCAAGTAGGCTACAAAAATACAAAATCTTTAGTCATGCTTTAGGCCTAGTGCAAGATTATACGACCTGACAACTGGACGATTTTGTTACGTTTTTTTTTTAAACATTGTATTTATCTTTAATGTTGGCAGTAAGTTTAGTAATATTTCTAGAGATATTTGATGACTTCCATATGTTGATTATGCCATGTTAGTAAGTAAACTATTGTCTGCTGAACGGGTATTTGTTACCTCTGATGTATTGCTTCTGTTCATTATTAAAATTGGTTTGGTTTGAATTTCGCGCAAAGCTACACGAGGGCTATCTACGCTAGCCATCCCTAATTTAACAGTGTAAGACTAGAGGGAAAGCGGCTAGTCATCACCACCCACCGCCAACTCTTGGACTACTCCTTTACCAACGAATAGTGGGATTGACCGTCACATTATAACGCCCCCACGGCTGAATAGGCTAGCATGTTTGGTGTGACGGGGATTCGAACCCGCGACCCTCAGATTGCGAGTCGAGCGCCCTAACCATCTAGCCATGCCGGGCCTATTAAAATTGGCAACCAAATTATAAACACAACCAATTCCACTGTAACTTTTCATCGGTTTTTATGGCTAGTTTTTTTGTTTTGTTTTCATCTGACGACAAAATCGAAAATATTAATTATTTACCTTCTAGACGCCCGTCAACGAACATGCTCGCCCTTTCAGACGTGGGGGCATTATATATAATGTGACGGTCAATCCCACTATTAGTTAGTAAAAGAGTAGCCCAAGAGTTGGCGGTTTTGACTTGCTGCCTTTCCTGTAGTCTATCACTACTAAATTAGGGATGACTAACGCAGATAGCCTTTGAGTAGCTTTGGCTCGGTGATAAGTTTGAGGGCTTACAACACCTAAATTGAGTTTCGATGCCCACAATGTAGACTTGTATCACTATTTGTCGACATCACTTGCCTATACAAACTTAACAAGTAAAGACCTTAGCATTTGTAGTTACTTGAAAACTGTAGCATTCAAATGGTTTATTCAGTTTTCCCTCGTGTTATTCTTTTTTTTTTGTGGTTAAGTGGTAATTCTGAAGGCTTGTAACACTAAAACTGGGTTTGGTACTCGTGTTGGGCATAGCACGGATAGTCCATTGTGTATTCGATGACGAGGAACCCACTTTGAGACTAATAATGGCTGGAGACGGCTTGAATGTACTTGTACCTGATGATGACAAAACCTTGTCGAAACGTTGTACATTTGCTGTTATGTTAA